CTGGATTGCGCTCAACAGCTCTTCCTTGCCCACCGCCCCCGAGTGTGTCCGGCGGCTTGCGAAGTAGTCGGCCATCTCGCGTCGTCGCTCGGCCACGGCCGACAGGTGACTTATCAGCGCAGTGGTGACAGACGAACGGGGCGTCAACACTGCAATCATCCCATGCATCGCACAGAGGGCCAGAGAGACGTATCTGTGTTTACGTCGATATATCTGCGCGTCGTGTTACTTACTTGGCGCGACGCCGGCAGTTTGGCACGCCTCGCTGACCGACACCTCGATGAACGCTGCGCACACCGGAGCCATCCATCGGCGTCCGGTCCGTGTCTCTACGGAATGCGATGCGTGTGCGTACCTTTTGGGTTTGTGTGTCCGGCGAGGATGTCGAGCTTGAGTTTGTCTCTCAGCGGGTTGGTCTTGTCCCACAGCAGCTTGAAGAAAGCAACCACTGCCTTGCCTGCAATGCCATGCATGGACACACACACACAGACAGAGATGTGCGGACGAGGAAGGACCAGCCTGGACAAGGAGGACCGGGCAGCTCAGGGTCCTTCTCCAGATGAAACCTGCAGGCACACACGCAGTCTCCCATGGATGGACTGACTGGTCGATTGTGGCGTGAGGGTGTGCTGTGGTGTGCTGTTTGCCATTTGGGGTGCTGTGTCATAAGCCGAAAGTGGACGTCTCCCATGTTGAGCGGATCAGCCAACACGCCCTGAACACACACACACACACACACACGACACACAGACAAGAAGAAGACTGTGTCTCCCTCCCTCTGCCCTGCTGTGTGTATCTGTTTACTGTGAGCTCCTCTCGGATGTTGTCTGAGGGCTCTGTGATGTCGACGCTCTCACTGACAAGCACCCGCTTGATATGCTCCACGGCAGCGTCGTCGGTGGAGTGGTAGAAGAGGCGCGTGGGCTCTCGGTCGGCCACGTGGGCGATGTAGTCTCTGAGATACTCATCGACTTCGGCCTGCGAGAGACTCGACTTGTCGGTCTGCTTCAGCAGATGGTTGTTGGCGGCCAGCACAAACTCCCCCAAGTCGCCTCCTGCCTCATCGATGTGCGCATGCATGGCATCCATGGATGACAGAGGGTGCGTGAGTGTGTCTGGTGCCTCACTAGGCGTGAAGATGGAAGGTTCGGTAACGCGGTCGTCGAGACTTGAGAAGTGATGCGACTCGACGTGTGTGAAGGTGGCGTCGAGTGGCTGTCCTGCACTCGTGTGAATGAAGACAGAAAGACATACAAACCACCAAACATGTATGTGCTTCTGTGTCTCGCTGGCTAACCGTATTGCTTTGAGACGTCTGCGATGGTGAGTCCTGTCTTGGCAGACCCTGTCCTGTCTTGTCGGAGGTTCACCTTGGATGGATTGCAAGTCGGGGCAAGCTTCTCGAAGCCGGTCAGCCCATCTCCGCACACACATGACGCCCTGCACACACAATTCATCACACAACAACATGACACACACACCTGTGTCTCTCTCTCGTGCGTGTGTGTGTCTCTGACCTGTATTTGTGTGAGTTGAGGTCCAACACGCCAGAAATCTCGTTCGTCGTGTTCTGGTGCACCTCCAGCAATGAAGAGAAGCCTGTCGTGGTTGTCGCGTCAGGCTGCAGGCCGCCGCTCCTCGCCTGTCTGCCGCCAATGAGACGGCTGATTGACGCATCGCACCCGAGCAGCACAGTGAGGGCACAGCCGAGCAGCCAGACGCTTGGGTGCATTGCTTCTGATCGGTGACTGTGTGTGTGTTTGGTGTCTGTCGGTTGAGTGTCACTCAGTCAATCAGTGGGTGTAGTGTACGTCATTCGATTCGATGTGATTGCTTTCTTGTTGTGCTTTCTTGTTGTGTACACACACTCGTACGCAAATGCCTTCGTTGTGTCCGACATACACACACACACACACACACACATGCATTCATGCATTGCATTCATCCCATCCGCACAATCGATCATGCAATCAATCAATCAATCGATCAATCAATCGTGAGTGATGCGCGGCCTGCCTGTCTCTGATTCACCACATTCATCGATTCACGTTCGCTGCTAAGATCCTGCACTGCCCTCTGTCCCAAGGCGCAACGTGAACGGGCTTGCTCTGCACCTTGACTTGATGCAAAGCGAGGCCATCCAGACGGCGAAGGCAAACACAGAGAAAAGCATCTTCAGCTCATCCAGTGCCTCAATCAATCATTGTTCCACGTGCAATCATTCAATCCCCGGTCCCTCCCCTCACGCAGGCATATGATGCAATCAGGCAGCCACCCGCTCCCCCCCACCCCCCCTGTAATCGTGTGTCATAGATCTACGCGACTGCACACAAAGCGCACAGAGCATTAATAGGTAGTTGGTAGGAGTCTCGAGGTAGGCAACGAGGAAGGTAGCCAGGTATGTATTGCCTGCTCGCTGGCTCGAGCAAGGCATGTGAATATGGATAGAGGTATGTCTGTATGGGGGCAGGTAGGGAGGGGGAGGGGGGAGGTGGGGAGGGAGGGGTACTTGACTCACACACATACACACGCCCCTCATAGTCACACACACATCCACTCAAGCATGCACACACGCATCAGCTGGTCATGCAAAAATCTGTTGTTGTTCTCACCCACCCGGCCACGCATTCCATGCCGCCCGAGGCCGGCCCGGCCGTCAAAAAGGGAAATATATGGGGCATGTATGTATGTGTGTCGGAGAAGGGGTACATACAGTACAGAAGCAGAGGCCAAACAGCCGTAGAACCTAGAAGGGCAATGTCTGTCAGCCAGTGAGAGTAGAGAGTGAGAGAAGGAGCATGTGCACGAAACAAGGACCAGCCAACTGGCGAAAAAATACAAAAAGAGAGCCGAGCGTATGGAATGGATGGAGGGTGAGCAAGTCCTCGCACATCTGCGATCGATTCAGGTCAAGTCGTTTTGATGGACAGATGCATGCACGTATGCGTCAAAATTAGGCCGTCCGTCTGTCCTTCGTGAGCCGACCAGACAGAGAGTGTCTTTCCTCCCCATCGCCCGCGACTTCGCCCCCTTGTCTGCCCCTCCAGTGTAAAATCCCTCGTTTTCGTATACACACGTATAGAGCGATAACAAAGCGAGGGCACGGTGTAGAAGCAGAAGAAAGCAGACGGTGGGAGAGATGCAGTCGGCCAGACCGAGTGAGTGAGTGAGTGAGTGAGATGAGAAAGCGTGTATGTGTTTGTGTGCATCACTATATTTACATACACAGCCGCCCAGCCCAGCCCCAGCCACCCACTCACCCGGAGTTGAGTCAGTAGTCAAGTGGTGAAGTGAAAACCCTCCCTACATACCCAAACATACCCCGCCAGACCCCACCCCCTCCCCTCATCCTCCCACCATCAACCATTTGAAAACGGCAATCGGCATGTGACATAGCGCAATTAATGTGTGTCGCGGTTCCTCGTTTCTTCCTTCCTGATTAGTCTCAATTCGCGAGTGGTGTCTCGCCGTGTGGGGTCGACAGGCAAGTAAGCATTAGGGTGACTGACTGAGGGCGCAACACGACGACACACATTTATGCACATGTGTACTCAGGTATGTACGCATTCAATGAGGGAAAAAGGCAGAGAAAGTCTCACTCACTTCGTTCTTCCAGAAATGTATAGGTAGAGAGGTAGGTAGAGAGGTAGGTAGAGAGGTAGGTAGGTAGCTACACGGATGGATGGATGGATGGATGGATGGAGCGGGCAGGGCAGCACGTCAGCCGGCCGCACATATGGATGGCATGAATGAATGATACAGAGCAACAATATGGACGATATGGACGATACGAGATGAATGAATGAGTATATACACACTATGCATACATACGCACACTCACGTACACAGGTAGGTCCATCGAGGACACACACACAGAGTCACACACACGAGGAATCGACAGGCAGCTCACGAGTAACCCACACACACATGCAGAAGCACCAGTCGCATCGCGGCAGCAGAAGGAGCGGCAGCAGGTTGGTCGTTGTCACGGGTGAATTACCACCAGCAGAGAGGACACAAGCAAGTGACAAAGACAGTACGCAGAGCACCACAGTACCAGCAGCTGGTCTCATCTCATCGAGTTGATCAGGTTAGTCAGTCGGTTAGTTAAAGTCTGTGCATTGCCGCCGCCCCCGTCGCCCCCGCCCGCCCTTTCACACATGAGCGATTCCATTCATTCATATATCCACGTATCCACGGTCATCAACACACCCCGGGGCGTCCGCCCCCGCCCCTCCCAATCATCCCTTGCACACGCATCGTTCCACCTCTGTCTGCACGAATGGACCGGACCCCTCACACACGAACACAGACACACAACACAGACAACACACGAGAGACACACACACGTGGATCGATCACGGACGCATGGACGCCTCCTCCTGTCCTCTCGGAGAGCTGTGTATGTGTGTGGGTGCGGGTGTGGGGTCTTGCCTTGCCTTGCTGTTGCATCACTACAAAAAGCATTCGCCGCTCATCAACACTCAATGCCACGACCGACATACAATGGGGTACGTACGCATGGTGGGTGGGCCGCACCGCATTCACTCCGAGCGCACACACACAAGGACGCGTATGAAAAGCATCAGCCCGCCCGAGAATAAGCGAGCGACGCACGCGTCCATACGTAGATTGACACGTGGATGGATGTGTGTGTATGGGATGGTATGGGATGGGATGGGGAATGGGTGCGACTGACCGACCGACCGACCAATAATGCAATGATGACCTATCAGGGTACCTACATCTACACGAATGAATGGATCACCCTCCCCCCTCCCTCCCTCCCGCAATTGCTGCTCGTGTTCCCTCGGCCATTTAAAAGCGGATGGGAAGATGCACACAGCTCACACACCCAGACACACACGCACACACACACGCACACACACAGAGGGAGGCACACAGCCAGGCGGGTGGGAATGCAGACGCACTAATGTTGTCAGAGAAACAAATGAGTAGAGTAAGTAAGTAGCTGAGGTAGGAAGTGGCCACACCACCCTCACATTCACACTCACACGGACGCCGCAGCCCCCCTGCAGCCAATCTCTCGGCAGACAGGCACGCACAGATGGTAGGGTACAAAAATGGCATCAACAATGCGTGCTAGGAGAGGGGGGAAATTCACATAATCGGTCCATCCGTCCATTCATCAACACATCTCACCATGAGACGGAGAGAAAAAGGGGAGAGAAGCCAGTCGGTACGGCTCCCACCCCCGTGTGTGCGTGTGTGAGTGTGTGTGGCTCACTGGCGGACGTAGCGTGCTCCGACTGCACAAACACATTCACAAGACAAGACGGAGCGGGATGGATGCAGTCCCTCGCCCACACACGCACGTCCACCCGTCAATCACGGCCGAGAAAAAGAATCGTCGGTAGCAGCACATCACAGGACAGGACAGCACCACTGGGCCCAGCAGGCCGGCCGTCACGAGCTGCTGCCGGCCAGGGACCACGGGCACACACAGACATACAGACATACAGACTGGTAGAGATAGGTACATGTTATTTGATACGTACGTAATGTAGAATCGGCGGCAAAATTCTCCTCCTTTGGTGTCGGTCGTTAGCTAGTCGGTCTGCTGGCTGAAAGAGAGAGCCCGGAAGGCAGACACACACAGGTAACACAGACGCATGCACACAAACCAGGTCGCGCAGAAAGAGAAACCACGAAACAACCTTCCGACCTTCGCTCCGCCCCTCCCCGCACCTCTGTTCCCTCTTCCTACCTGTTTGCCTGGTCGTTTGCTGTGCTTACAAACGACATAAAACGACAAAATGCACCCCCTCACTTTCACACGCGTACGTACATCATACAGCACGAGCAAGGAATGAAAACAAGGACGAGGAAGGACTGAACCCGCCCATCCCCCGCATCGCTCTCTTCCTCTCCCTCCCCCTCTCCCTCTGTGTACACACATCACATCACACCACACCACATCGCCCACCCACGCACCAATGCAGGAAAAACTACCCGTCTCCCAGTCTTCCCCCCTTACCCCTGCCAGCCAACCTGCCAGCCATTTACTGCCATCAAGCACATCTCCACATTCAGCACACATCGATGCACACCCACACAGACAGCACGACACCCACAGACAAATGTCAGCCAGGAAGGCAGAGAGAGAGACAGCCAGAAAGTCAGTGAGAAAGCCAGCCGGCCAGCATCACACCCACATTGCACGACACAGCAAACCAGCAATCAGCAAGCAGGAGACACTGGTTCCTCGGTCATTCGGTCATTCTTTCAGCCAGACAGACAGACAGACAGCCGGCCGCCGTTGAAAACACACCTTTTCAACTCCACACGAACCCGCAACTCGACGCCACGCCACTTCTTCTTTCCACAGCCACACAGCCAGCCAGCCCCTGACTACAATACCAGGTACCAGGGGGGAGCAGCCAGATATGGCAGACAGGCAGGGATGGGGGAGAGAGAGGGGGAGAGAGGGAGAGAGAGGGAGAGGGCCGAACGAACCAACGAACGATCCAGATGGGCAGCATGAATGAGCACGTAGACAGGTAGACAGGTGGACTGAGAAATGGCCATGTCAAGTCTGAAGGAAGACTCCCTTGATACATACATACATACATCCAAGCTCCCTTGTACGTGTGTGTACGCATGTATATATACGTGTGTACGTATCTACGTATGTATGCATGTGTATGTATACTGTGACTTACGTATGTGTGAATGAACGAATGAATGAATGATGGCGGCATAGCGTGGTGCGATCAACCGGTGGGCCGACGGACAGACAGACAGACAGACAGGCGACAGAAACCGACACAAGCCACACAAGCCAAGCAAGACCCCCATTCTCCCCCACCCACCGTCACCATTCACAAAACAAACCCTTTCTCGAGTCTTCGTATGCACCTTGATCTTGTAAGCAGGCAACAGCGTGTGTATGTGTGTGTGTATGCAGCACAGCACAGCACAGCACAGCACTCGAGCAATCCATTCGGATCGTTCGTTCATTCATTCGTCCATTTCTCCCCGCCGGATGAACGCAGGCGGGAGGGAGGGAGGCAGGGAGAGAGCACCAAACGCAGACCAGTGCACACCAGACGGAGACGAACACAGACAGACGGAGACACATGACGCCCAGATCACACAGACAGACAGACAGAGGCAGGCAAGCAGGCAGGCAGTGAGGCAAGAAAGTTGCAACTTCACACGCACGCACCACAAGACAGCCGGCCGTCCAGCGCGTGTTGTCCGTCAGTCATTTTGGTCCCTCATATGAGACCAACCCCATTGGCTCGCTCACTCACTCACTCGCCCGCCCCTTCCATTCCCTCCTCTCCCCTCTCCCCTCCTAAACTCTTCGCACAACTAGCAGGCCAGGCAGGCAGGCAGGCCAGCCGCGTGCAAGAAGCTCTCCCGCGGCCTCTCTGTGCATGTCTGTGTGGGTGTGCTGTGTGCTGAAAAAGCAGAGAAAATGCATTGAATGCAATGCATTATTGTCATCACGAAAGATGGGTGGGTTGGTGTGTGCATGCGATGGATCGATGGAGTGGTTGGTGGGTCCACGAGTGTATGGCTGGCTGGCCGGCCTGGCTGCAGGGCGGGCATTAGTAACACTCCCGGTCTCCCACACCCACGACATCCATCCACCGTCTGTGCGTGGGAGAGGTAGGGAGGGAGGGGAGACGGCATGCATGCAAGACGGTGGACGGTCAAAAAGCAGTACACATCAAGGAAGAAAGGCGAGAGGAAAACACACCCACGTCGACACCCACATCGACACCCACATCCACACAGACACCACGGACGCATCAGCATGTACGGAGTCAGGATAGCCAGACGAGAGGGAAGAGAGAGAGAAGAGTGGATGGCTCGGCGCCTCTTGCCTCCATCCATGAGTGTCTCTCGCGTCTCTGTCCATCCCGTCATTTTCGTCACTACAAGACAGGCAGGGAGGGAGGGATGTTGAGAAGGCAGGAGTAGAAAAAAGGACGATTGATCGACCATTCTGCCCTCCCCCTCCCCGTTGACGCATAAATGTACCCACAGCACCACCAGCAGCACATCCCACGAGCAGCAGCAGCACACGCAGGCCCCTCCCTCCCTCCTCTCTGTAACAATAGCATCAACACCAAACGTCAATCCTCAACAAGTCAATTCTGCCTGTACCATTCATCCATCCATTCATCCCTGACAAAAGCCAGCCACTCTTGAGGAGCGAGAACCGAGCGCATGCGTGTGTGTATATGGGCGGGCGGGCAGGCAGGCAGGCAGACAGCACGAGAGTAGCAGCAACAGCATGAAGGCAAGACCATCCTACGTTTGGTACGTCTCTGTGTACGTCGGTCAGCCAGCAACCCACCCACCCACACCCACACCCTCCCACAAAGCTGTAAAACATCATCACACCCATCCCCCATCAGCAGACAGCAGATATGGCCATAGACACATACGGACATTGATCGGACAGGAATACAGGCAATACACATGACACACATGGACCGACAGCAGATAGGAGGGTTGACACGCCACGGCAGCCGGTAACGCGTTCGTGTGTGTGCGTGTGTGTGTGTGTGTGTCTCGAGGGGCGTGGATGGCAGCCGGCGAACACACACACATAGGTAGGTAGGTAGGTAGACAGAAAGCATACGTAGATCACTTCGTGTGGAGTGGTTGCGTTGGAGTTGGCACCTATGGATGTATCACACGCAGTGGACAATCGCCAGCCAGCCAGCAAGCCAGCCAGCCGGCCGGCCGGCCGCCACATAGCACACACGCCACACACGGATCGACATGAAAAGATGAATGCATGGCAAGATAGCGGGATGGATATAGATAGCCAGGCAAAGGGCACACACGTCCATCCAAACAAACATACACACACAGACAACCATTATTAGCCGCAACAGACAGGCAATATCCGTCTGTCTGTACTCTC